ACTTCATTTCAGCGCTGTTTCAATGTGTTTTCAGTGTATTTATGTTACCCGTTTTGTATTAACGTTCTATGTGCTTGTAATTCAAGTGTTCCATATCCATCACATAAGAATTCCAGAGTTTAGTATTGAGAACTCTTAGAAAAGTAACTGCATTTACAGAGTGTTCTGAGTTCTTTTACGTTGCCGGCGGACACCGAGGGCGAGGGCGGCAGCTACAGTGAACAGTGCCCACGGCCTCGGACTTGCCACGGACAGGGCTGTGGGCGGCTGGGCCGTCCCATCTGCGGGGCTGAAGGGCTGTCAGGGGGTGAGCAGGCCGGGCGCGCCTCACCCCGCCCCGCCTGGCACTCCAGCCCAGACCTCCGCTGCGCCCGGGACGCTTCCCGGTCACCCCCGCATCCTGGAGCCCATTCGCGGAGGGGCCGGCGGGGGTCTGAGGGTGGACCTCCCAGCAGGCACCGTCCTTTAGGGGCCACGGGGACCTCTGCCCCGTGCCAGCTGGGAAGTCGGGGAGTCCACGCCGGGCCCTATGGGGACCCACACCTGCAGACGCCGGGCCTGGGAGGTCTCCTGCTGGGGTGGGTCGTGTGCTCCTGTTCGGAGGGCCGCGTGGAACAGGCCCTGACTGGCGTGCCTCTGTGTGCAGGCGTGGAAGGACGCCGGTCTCCCGCTCTCCACCCCCAGCAACGAGGCCTGCAAGCTGTTCGATGCCACCCTGACCCAGGTGATGCCCCCGAGGGAGCAGCCCCTCCGTAAAGGGCCAGGTTTCAGAAATTGGTGGATGCTTTTTTAAAAGATATTTTAATTGACTTCAGGGGGGAAGGGAGAGGGAGAGAGGGATAGAAACTTAAATGAGAGAGGATCATGGATCTGCTGCCTCCTGCATGCCCCCCGCTGGGGATGGAGCCGGTCACCGGGGCCTGTGCTCTTGACGGAATTGAACCGTGACCTCCCGGTTCATAGGTCGAGGCTCAGCCACTGAGCAGTGCCAGCCGGCTGGTGAATGCTTTCGATTAGTTTTTCCTTGTTACATTGCTGGGCGCATCTCACAGCTTCGTCCATTCCTGCCACGGTGTGAAGGCTACTTCCACCGTGTCCGGGGAGCTCTGAGCTCCCTCTAACGGCTCGCTGACACGTGCATCCTGACCGGGGTCCTCACTGGGCCTCCAGGTGGAGTGGGGGATGGCCGTGCACAGGTGAGGGACTCGCACTTTCGGAGCCGTATGTCTTCATCAGCGCTCCTGGCTATACGAACAGTGAAGCCCACGGACCCCTCCTACCCAGGTCTCCTGGGAAACTTGGGGAGAGCAGGACTTCATGGGGACCCAGACATGCTTCATAGTGCTTTTGTATAAGTACTAGAGGCCCGGTGCACGAATTCATGCACGGGTGGGGTCTGGCCGGCCATCTGGGATGGGGGTGATGGGGCCGGTCAGGGGAAGGGACTGCAAGAGGTTGGCTGGCCCTGCCCCCTGGTTGAGCTCCGGGTGAGGGGACAATTTGAATATTAGCCTTTTATTATATAGGATTCTTGATTTTAGAGAGAAAGGGAGAGGGAGAGAGAGAGAGACATCCATGTGAGAGAGAAACATCATTCAGTTGCCTCCCATATGCACCCCAACCAGGGATCGAACCCACAACCTGGGCATGTGCCCTGACTGGGAATCAAACTGGTGACTTTTTGGTGCATGGATTAATACCCAACCACTGAGCCACACCAGCCAGGGCTTGGCCTGACTTTTCATAATACATGTTTACTATGGTTTTTCTTCTTTTAAAAAATATTTTATTATTTATTTCTTTTTATTGTGTAATCTTCACCCGAGGATATTTTTCCATTGATCTTTTTTAGAGAGAGTAGAAGAGAGAGGGAAAGACAGAGAGAAACACCGATGTGAGAGAAACACATCGATTGGTTGCCTCCTGCACACGCCCCAACCAGGGCTGGGGCCAGGGAGGAGCCTGCAACCGAGGTACGTGCTCTTGACCAGAATTGAACCTGGGACCCTTCGGTCTTCAGGCCCATGCTCTATCTACTGAGCGACACCGACTAGGGCTACTGTACGTTCTTCTTAAAAGGTGTGAACGAGGCGGAGAAGACTCCCACTTAGTAGGGGGCAGGTGACACAGGCAGACTTCCTCTAGAGCAGCGGTTCTCAACCTTCCTAACGCCGCAACCCTTCGATACAGTTCCTCATGTTGTGGTGACCCCCAACCATAAAATTATTGTCATTGCTACTTCATCACTGTAATGTCGCTACTGTTATGGATCCTAATGTAAATATCTGATATGCAGGATGTATTTTCATTGTTACAAATCGGACATAATTAAAGCATAGTGATGAATCACAAAAACAATATGTAATGATATATGTGTTTTCCGATGGTCTTAGGCGACCCCTGTGAAAGGGTCGTTCGGCCCCCAAAGGGGTCGCCACCCACAGGTTGAGAACCGCTGCTCTAGAGGCTGTGGGGGTTTTGGAAACCCCAGAGAACGTGCCTCGAGGGGCGTGTGTTCAGTCTCTTCGCTGAGAGCAGCCCAGTCCTGCTTTCCTCGAGCCCAGAGAACACCCCGAGTTCCAGGCAGGGGCACGGGCCTGGCTGCGGGCCGCGCCTTCCCAGCGGGCGCCGCCTCCCCGACGGCTCGCTGTGCTCCTGTTTCAGTACGTGACGTGGACCAACGACGCGGCTCTCGGGGGCATCGAGGGCTGCCTGGCGAAGCTGAAGGCGGCAGACCCGGCCTTCGGTGAGTGACGCTCCCTGGGCTGGGCCCCGGGTCACGGCTGGCAGTGCCCGGCCAGGCATTTGCACGGAGGGGGTGGGAGGTGCCAGTCAGTGTTGTGTTGTGGTTGAAATACCAGCTGCTCCCATGGCGATGCCGGGTCTGGAGAAGGCACCTTTCCCCCTAATTGGACGCCCATTCTCAAAAAAAGACACTGATCTTATTTCTCAGATGAGAACGAGGTTTGGAGAAAGAGGGGTTCCGCTGCCCGGGCTGGTCTGCTCAGTGGTTAGAGCATTGGCCTGCGGACCAAAGGCTTTCTGGTTCCATTCCCGGTCAAGGGTGCATACCTTGGTTGTGGGTTCAGTCCCCAGCCCCAGTCAGGGAGCGTGCCGGAGGCATCCGATCACTGTGTCTCCCTCATGCCGATGTCTCTCTCTCTCCCCCTCCCTCTCTCCCTCCACTCTGAAAATCAATGGGAAAAATATTCTCACCTGAGGATTAAATTTTAAAAAGGTTCAGCTGGTGAGGGGGTGCTCCAGACACGCACTCCCCAGTTGCCCTCGTGAGGCAGATGTTTGTGGGGTGCAGGGTGCTTTCAGGGTATGGCCTGCAGGTGGGGGTGAGGGCCCGGCTGAGCTCTGCACTCTGGTGGGGGCACAGCGCACCGCCCACCTGCGCCCGCTTGCCCCTCCTGGGACGTGGGCTGCTCATTTCACATGTGGGGCGGGGCGGGCCATGCGAGTCACCAGCTGCCCCCCACCTTTCACCAGCCATGGGCCACGCCATCGCCAACGGCCTGGTGCTGATTGGCACCGGGAGCTCTGTGCGCCCAGTGCCCCTGGGGAGGGGGCCCGGGGTGATTGCCCCCGCCTCCCAGCCTCTGATCGACACTCACCTGCTGCCTTGTCCCGGGGACCCTGAAGGAGGGAGGAGCTGGCCAAGGTCCCCGTAGGGCTTTCAAAGCAGCTCACTGTTTCATTCAATAAATTGGTTATTATTTTCTTACAAAAATAATAGGACCACATTAGAGAAACAAATAAGAGATAGAAGAGAAACCCTCCCCCTTTGCCTACCCGCCCTTCGAGCATCTGCCCACAGCACCTGCTCTCCCCACCGCTGCCCCTGCCAGCGGCGTCGGAGCCGGAGCCCGTGTCTGGGCGACCTGGTCTGCTCAGGCCGGGGAGGCGCCCACAGAGCGAGGCCACCTGAGCTGCTGTGCAGGTTCTGGAAGTGACAGAGGAAGCTGCCCGGGCCCCCTGGGGAGGCAGTGCCGGGGCTTAGCGCTGGCTGGGCCTCTGCCTCCAGGCCTCCCGCCGCGGTTCCTGGTCTCCACGGGCATTGCCTGGGGCCGCTTGTTAAGCCAGTGCTCCCGTCTGGTTTGAATTCAGAACAACCACCCACTGGTTATCGATTCTATGAGCCACACGCCAACATAGGTACGTCTGTGCGTACAGTTGAGTCCTCACTAATGTCGGTGGAAGTTCCATGACTTGAAACAAAGGGACATGTAACAAAGCCAGTTTCACCGCAGGCGTCTCGATAGACAAGCGCCACCTTCCCACAGCATCCCATCCGTGTTAATAGGACACCAGCCCTGCCACGTGGCTCCGTGGCTGAGCGTCGGCCTATGAATCACGAGGTCACGATTCGATTCCCAGTCAGGGCACAGGCCCGGGTCGTGGGCTCGATCCCCAGTGTGGGGCGTGCAGGAGGCAGCCGATCAGTGATTCTCATTATTGATGTTTCTCTCCCTCCTTCCCTCTGAAATCAATAAAAAAAATTTTTTTAGAAGGACATTGAACAGAACGATGTCATTGAAAGACCTACCGTGTGTGCGTGCACGTGTGCATGTATGTGTGCGTGTGCGTGCGTGTGTGGCCAGTGCAGGGCAGACTGCGGAGCTGGCAGGAAGCGATGCTCTCCCGCCGCAGTGGGCTGTGTCCCTGTCGCTGAGAACCCGCGCTGTCCTCCCAGGAACTTCCCCGGAGCCTGCGAGTTGTGGGAGCAGATTCTACGGGACCACCCCACGGACATGCTGGCCCTCAAGTTCTCCCACGACGCCTACTTCTACCTGGGCTACCAGGAGCAGATGCGAGACTCTGCGGCCCGCGTCTACCCCTTCTGGACACCCGGCGTCCCCCTGAGCAGGTGTGTGCCGTCGGCAACCACATCGTTTCCTGCCGGGTCTCCCTCCCCTGCCCCAAGCTGGGGCCAGGCTCCCGGCCCTCCCCCCAAGGCGAGGCCACGGTGGCTCTTCTAGTTTCCTCCCGCGCCGTCTTGCCACCCGGGAGCGAGGCGGCACATTGCGCAGTTAGCACAGGGGAGTTGGCTGTGGCAACGAGCCTGCTGCAGACCTGGTCCTCCAGGGCGGCCACAGCGAGGCCTCTGTCATCATGCCCCCGCCCGTCCCAGGCGGCCGGCGCTGTGCCCTGCGGGGCCGCCCTCTGGGACCCGGGTCGGGGAGCACCTGCTCTCGGACACACCAAGAGCGGAAGGAGCTCTCCTGAGGGGCTCGTGAGGGTGCCGACGCGCTCAGAGCAGCGGGGCCCACTGGGGCCCACACCCCACGGGCGGCAGTTTGGTTGTTAAGGGGGCAGTTTGCGGATGAGTTATTAACAGTGAGTTTTGTGCATTTCTCAGGGCTCTAGGGGCCTCCTATACAGCCTATAAGTATATATGGTGACGTATTTCTGCATTTCAGTTCTCTATTATACGTTTTGAAACTTTAGTTGCTGTTGCTCACATCACCTCATATAATTATCTTAATTTCTTAGTGATTCCTTAGTGAAACGTCCTCTCGTTCTTTTATTTTTCTCTCTCATGGATCCATGCTCTTTGGAAGCCGGTTTAGACCCAGTGAATGGCCTTTCAGGCTTCCTCCACGTGCACAGGAGTCACTTTTTGAAGAATGAGAATTCTAGGTCACGGAGGGGGGGGGCATCAGGAGTTAGAGATGGGGACCACTGGCTCAGAGTCATTGGCCAGAGCTGGCCACGCCTCCCAGGAACCAGCAAGCGCAGCTCTGCTGCGTGCTCGGAGGGGAGGGGTCGGGGTGGAGGGGTAGACGGACCTGTGAACAGCCCGAGTGACACCGCAGAGCGACAGGGTCGCCTCCATTGCAGCTTCTTGCTGTTGTGTTTGTTAATCCTCACCCGAGCATATTTTTCCATTGAGTTTTAGAGGGAGTGGAAGGGACAGAGCAAAGAGAGAGAGAGAGATAGAGAGAGAGAGAGAGAGATGAGAGACGTCGATTGTTTGGTTGCCTCCTGCATGTGTCCCAACTGGAGCTGGGGATCGAGCCTGCCAGGCGGGTCCATGCCCTTGACTGGGAATTGAACCTGCGGCCCTTCGGTGCGAGGCCGACACCCTAACCAGGAGCCACACCGGCCAGGGCTTCGTCGCCGCTTAACCAGAGGACGTGGTGAAGGTCAAACATGAATGGACTGAAGAGCCGTGTGAGTGAGGGTTCTCCAGAGAAACAGAACCAGTACCACGTGTGCACCTGTATTCATGTTGCTTACATGTGTATGCAAACGTCAACCTCCGTGTCTGCATACGTGTAGAGACATGGATTGTACGGCGTTGGCTCCAACTCTTGGCGGCTGGCGAGTCCCAGGCCGCAGGACAGCGCAGTCGGGAAAGTCAGGGAGCACGCTGGGCCGCCGTCTCTGGGGAGGCCGCTTCCTTCCTCCCCCGGGAGGTCAGACTTGGCTCGAAAACCTTCGCCTGATGCGGCGAGGCCCACCCACACCCACACGTGGAGCCTCATCTGCTGATTTACATGTCAGCCGCGTACAAGCACGACCGTCACAGCAGCACCTAGATCGCCTCTGACCCGACGACGCGCCGTGGCCCCGCCGAAGTGACACGTCAGCGTAACTGTCGCGGAGCCGGTAGGGGCTGCCGGCCGCGAGCATCCCGTGCGTGCTTAGCTGTCAGCGGTGACAGGACCCCAAGAAGAGCCCATGAATGTTTAAAGGCGAAGTCGGAAGCCAGGGCTCCAGAACGCTGCTTCTGTGGAGAGTAAAGCCGGAGTTCCCCTGTCCACGGAGACACGACCACACCTGAGCCTCAGGGAGAAGCTCCGAGGTTCTCTCTCGCCCCTGTGGAATCCCGCAGAAGCGCAGGAAGAGCGCGGGAGCTCGGTGGGGAGCTCGGTGCCGGTGGTGACGGGCGAGGAAGGCGCGGTTAGTCAGCGCTGTGTCGCCCAGCCCGTGCTCGGTGGGGCCCGGGCGAGAGCCAGTTGGACAGACGGGCCCCCGCCTCCAGGAGCTGGGGTCTGGGGAGAAGCTGCTGACAGCGAGCCGTCACCACGGCTCCCAGGGCTGTCCCTGAGCTGTCCCTCCTCACGGGCAGCTCCCCGTGGGCAGGAGGGAATAGGCCCTTGTTGCCCCCGTGGGGACCTTGGCATCCTAGGAGGTGGGATGTGAATTGCAGAGGGTCCAGCACGGAGACAGGGGTTGAGTTGGGAGCCGTCACACAGATGATAAAGGTCACGCCGCCCCTCCCCAGCCAGGGCATCCGCTCGCTGGGACCCCGCACGTGGCATGGTGCCTGGCACAGGGCCAGTGGACCAGCTCCTGGCGCTGCCAGAACCATGGCCACAGGCTGGGAGGCTTAAAACCACAGATTCATTCTCTCTCCGCTACGGAGGCCGCGGTCCGAAATCCAGGGGTCGGGGGCCCGTTGAAGGCTCTAGGGGAAGGTCCCCGGCTCACGGCTGCGCTACCCGTCCCTGCCCGGTCCTCGCGCGGGTCTGTCCTGTGTGTGTCTGTGTCTAGCTTCACTCTCCTTTCACGTGCCATCAGGGCGCCAGCCACCGGGTTGGGACCCACCTCCTGGTGTGACCACATCCGCACACACCCGCCTCTGCGCTAGGACACGTGTGCACACACCCGCCTCTGCGCTAGGACACGCGTGCACACACCCGCCTCTGCGCTAGGACACGCGTGCACACACCCGCCTCTGCGCTAGGACACGCGTGCACACACCCGCCTCTGCGCTAGGACACGCGTGCACACACCCGCCTCTGCGCTAGGACACGCGTGCACACACCCGCCTCTGCGCTAGGACACGCGTGCACACACCCGCCTCTGCGCTAGGACACGCGTGCACACACCCGCCTCTGCGCTAGGACACGCGTGCACACACCCGCCTCTGCGCTAGGACACGCGTGCACACACCCGCCTCTGCGCTAGGACACGCGTGCACACACCCGCCTCTGCGCTAGGACACGCGTGCACACACCCGACTCCGCGCTAGGACACGTGTGCACGCGGCGTGTGGGGGCACATCGGCCGCGCAGGTCGTGCTGAGGGTTGAACGGTGCCGGTCCCTTTAAAAAGGACTTTGGCTCTCTCTTCAGCTACGTGAAAGGCATCTACTCGTTCGGGTTGATGGAAACCAACCTCTACGACCAGGCGGAGAAGCTCGCCAAAGAGGTGGGTGGCTCCCCGAGGTGCCGGCCTCAGGGCTGGCGTCCGTGGGGCTGGGCACGAGGACCCGCTCCTGGGTGGCCCCGGCCAGGTTCCCCCTCTGCGCCCGTTTCCTCGAGGATTCGGGGGGGAAGGGCTCATGGTCACAGCGCCTCCCGCCGTTTGGTCCACGGAGCCACGAAGCACAAACTACCTCCGTAGGTGAGGAAGGCCAGCGAGGCCAGGGAGGCCCTGTCCCCTCGCTCCGGTGGCACAGAGGGCGGCCCTGGCACCGCTCTGTCTGCCTCCAGAGCCCGCCTGACCCTGCGGGAGCCAGAGCTTGGGAGGCCGGGAGTGTATGGAAATGCGGGTGCTCCCACCTCGGACCTCACTGCTGTCACTAATGTCACTCGGGGAAATGAGCCACAATTGGAGCGGAGGCTGTTCTGATGGCCCTGGCTGGGGGGCTGGGG